TGCAAAGTACCGTTGTGCTCCCGACACAGAGCCACAAAGCTTATGCAATACACAGGCACAAAGATAAAAAAAAACAATAATAACACAAAACTGAAATGTGAAATGAGTGTGTGGACACGCTCTCACACCTCTCTGACTGTGTTGTAGACTAGTCTAAATGGCACTGTATTGAGTCAAGGGTGACTGAGTGACTCACTGTTGCAGGTGACTGCCAATTTGGCCCGTGTGCATTGGCAACAGACGCACAAACACAGAGAGTCAACAACCCCGTGTGCTCACAAACACTGAAATAGACACAAAATGTTTTTAAAGATGTTGTATTCAGCTTGAGGAGTGAGTCAGCCATACTGTACTTGACTTCTGACGCTGTTAAAAACGGGGCTTTTTAGAGAATGAACCCTTGGCTTCATATGAATGATCTCAATATTCAACACAATTTGGTCATTTTGGCAAGCGGGCCATAAAAAAAAAAAAACATCTGTGAATGCTCTATTACTGCCAATTTCCACAGAGTCCGTGCCCACCGCGGTACGTCGGCTGCATTCGCTGTCACACGACCGTTTTCACAGCAAGCGCCACTGTCAGACTGACAGACTCACACGCCACCCTGTAAAATCTGACACCAACAGGCTTTTTAAAGAATTCAACATAAACTCCTCCGTACCAATATGTGATGCTCTGGCTAACTGCTTCTTAATGAAGTCCTGATAAGATTGGTCCACTTTTGGGTTGTAATTTTTTAACCCATACCATGATGATTTTCCTATAGTTACCATGTCTACAATTCTACAATTCTACAATTCACTTAGCAGACGCTTTTATCCAAAGCGACGTACATCAGAGAGTAAGTACAACACAAGCAAGGATCTAGAAAAATGGGAACAATGTCAGTAAGAGCAAACGATCAGCTTTGAGTCTGATTGGACACACAGGTGCTGACAGGAAGTGACCAGAGGGAAAGCACAACATTGACTGCAGTTCTTGAGAGCTCTAATCAGTATAGAAACCATCTTATAAGTCATTGTTATCAAACAAAAACCTTCATCATTACCATCATCATCCTCAATAATATGGAGACCATCATCATTAAGTTAGTAGGTATTCATGAAAGAGCTGGGTCTTTAGCTTTTTCTTAAAGGTGCAGAGGGACTCTGCAGATCGAATGGAGTTTGGAATTCATTCATATCGTCGTTTTAAACCAAAGCAAACAGACTACTCCATGCTAACCAGAATATTAGAGAGTTAGAAAGTCAGTCAGAAGACTAGAAAACCGCTATACAAGACTACATACTCAATGTCATTTACCATTTACTAGCCTAAAAGAGCAAAGCTAAGCTAATCATGAACTGACAGAGTGGTAGAGATTGTCTCACCACACTCTTGGTAAAACCATCTGATATTATCTTTATGACATAGATACTTCTGACAGTATTCAAAATGTTGACTTCAATGCTAACGACAGCTGCTACCATTCGGCACCTCCTCCTCCCATTTGGACTCTTTTGCCTGCAGGAGCTCAACATAAGCAGCTAACTGGGTCGGCAGATGACAGAACTGACTTCAAGTCATCTAACGTTGACGTCTTTGCTTGACAAGACAAGCAGGCTGAGCTGCCTGACACCATGCCATTCAACTTCTAACAACACAGTTGTGTGTGCTGCTGTTCCACTTCTGTTTCTTTCGACTAATAGTGTATTTTTGAGAATGCATTATTTTCTCATCATTGTTGTTGTGAATAATTTAAAGGTTGTTGAACCCTGACTAGCAGCATTCACTGCGTGCTATTTTCCTTCAGAGGTCATTTAATGATGCTCTGTGCTGTGATCTCGCCCTAAGCAGCACATTGGCCAACACTAACACAGGCAGAAGCCAAGCCAGAGACAAACACTTTAGGTCACAGTGGGAGCCTTCACTTGCTCCGAGAGATGTTCCAGTACCATTTTATCCTTTCTGCTTTTGAGTTTGGGTAATGGCTGATACCCCGGACCAATACGATAGCATGAGACTTAAAAAAAAAAGAAGAAGCTATAACCCTCTATAGATGGGATATGATTGCTATATTTTTGAGTTTTTCAAAGACAATTCCTGGCGAGGAATTTCTTAAATGGTGTATATGACAGTCAGTAATAAAAGCAAGAGAACATAAATCAATCAATCTACAAATAATCAACTTTTCCCAATGGAGAAACTTTCTTTGACCCCTCTTATCGTACTTCCTGTTATGTTTTTGTCAAAACCTTACTCAAGCTGGAGTCACAGAAGTTAGAAACCATGATTGATATTCCACCACAAGACTACCAGGTATTACTGATTTTGTCCAAGTCCCGAATTCCCATCCCTGCTGAGAGCAATATAACAGCACCTTTAGGATGACTTTGATTTAATGTGTTTCAGGTTTGTGCCGCAGGAGAGTCTCTCAACCAATTTTCAACCAGAGGACATGAGTGCGAGACGACTCGGAAGAAAGCATCCAAAAAATCAACACAGAATCCCCTGCAGCAGTGAGAGGAGAGTGAACTGAGAATGAACCTTTTGAAAGAAAACACCAGAAAAACAAAAAATGACAAAATTAACGAGCAACATTGGTGCAACTTGGCTCCAACGTGGGTCCTGTAAAGTTGAAATTGGACGCAAGCACAGAAAAACCCACAACAACTTTAAAACAGACTCCCTCTCACCCACTCTCTGAACTATTGGAGTGGCAGGACTCACTAAACAAATGCTTTCTTTGCAAAGATAACCCCCAAAGCACAGGATCTGCAGTGGGAACAAACAAACAAACAGAGATTTAAAGAGTTCAAAAGTTGATGAGAAATAGTGAGCTGACCTGATTTAGTTGGACAAATATAATCAAAACATCCCTGGATGCAATAAAAGAGGGAAAACCTATGTTTTATTTCATTCTCCAGCCCTCTCTCCCTTTTCCGCTGTCATCTTACTGCTTTTAATGTGTCACAAAGTGCATCAAATACCCTTAAATCACTAAACTCAAATCCACTTAAAAAAGGCCAAAGGTCAAAGCAGAGTGCTAAGGCTGTGGTCCGACCTGTGGCTCCTTTCCCCCCTCTCTCTCTCTCTCCCTGATTTCTGACTCTGTCCACTGTTCTGTTTCTAAATAAATGCACAAAAAGCCCCCCCCCCAAAAAAATCTATTTTTTAGCTTGGGTAGAGAAAGGGCAGGTGTGCAAATTAGCTTCTGATGACATCTTAATGTGATAGATTAAAAAAAAACCATGCTTAGAATAAAGATGAGAGAAGAGTCCCATATATTGCATTTTTTTCTTCCTTTATCACAAATTGAGTTTTCGATGCTTCAAGGAGACGCTGATACGCCACCCTTTTTTTTTTTAATTATGACAAATGCTTGAAACATACCTACTCAGGGGAGACCAGAGGTTAGTGGTCTAACTCTAACTTCATTGAATCTCTGAATATTCTTTGATTTGATCACGTTTGTATATAAGAATCCTCTTTTGAGCAGCTTTACATTCCACATTTTCGTCTTCGGTGCCTTGATTGCTTTTTTCATAGGTGAATAGACGAGGAGAGAGTGACTCTTTAAATAATTATGTAGCGTAGAGCATATTTCACATCCCATGCTGCTTTGTGCTTTGGCTGGTATGAAATTGTGTTTATATAACCCCCTCAGGGCGACTATCGCACACACACACACACACACACACACACACACACACACACACACAAACACACAGCATAAATGAATCATGCAGCATACGCTCCAATAATATTTGAGTTCCCATCTGCTCTCGCTTAAAGACATCTTGAACTCTTCTCACCTGCTTTACAGTTAGAACACACACACACACACAAACACACACAAACACAATTCAGCCCTGCACTAATACAACCAACATAACTAATCCATGTTACCTAATGACGTTGCCCCTGGAGCACACACACAGATGCCGCACCACTCTTTGAACAATGTTACATCGCCCTTAAGGGGTTACACACCTGCCACAGCTTCAAGAAGACAATCTCTCGTTTGGTTTCACCCACTTTTCTCACTATAGCTGCTATTTCTGCACGCACACACACTGACACAAAAACAAAAATGCTCCTCACACCGATAATCACGCAGAATCCAGCAGCACATCCTGCAGGGACGAACAGGATGCAACAGTAAATGTGCATCAGCAGTATGTCACTTCCAATAATATCCAATTCAATGCTAAATGTAGATGGCTGCATAGTGGAGGAGAAAGAGAACATAATCTCTCAGTGTGTGTGTGTGTGTGTGTGTGTGTGTGTGTGTGTGTGTGTGTGTGTGTGTGTGTGTGTGTGTGTTTGTGCAAGGCAGAGAGACATACAGAGAGAGAGAGAGAGAGAGAGAGAGAGAGTAAATAAGAAGGGAGCAAAAGGAGAGTCGAAAGTAGGTCCAATGTTGTTGCCATGGTGATTAATGAGATACAAAAGTCCTTAACGTTATCATTATGGGTATGAGGGGAGCGGGTGATTGTATGCGTGCGTACGTGAGTGTGTGTATTTGTGTGTGACAGAAAGAAAGAGAAAGCAGAGAGCGAGACAGAGAACAATGGAAATGAGAAAATCCTCAGTGAAACAAGTTCAGTCCATTCCCCCGGCTGCTTTTTCTATCTTTAGATCGATGATGTTTTCTTGCATCTAATCGGGACGCCATTCGACAGGGAGGGTGGGAAGAGGTCAATACAAACGCACAGCATGAATACTGAAGGATCTGGAGTGAATCTGATTCAAATCAACTTTCGGCACTCCCTGTCGTTTTCCCTTTTGAAAAATTTGAGTTAAACTGCTGCCTGTGACCAGAAAGCCCCCCCCCCCGAGCAGAGCGAGCCGTGAATACAGAGAGAATAGTTCACAAGGGGACAGAGGTGGCAGCAAGGTTAACATAGTATGTGTGGGCTTCTGACTGCAAGGCTGTCAGTCTCATTCTACAGACGGCTTTTGTAAAGTGTGACGCGAATTAGAAATGTTCTCCGCTCTGTCAAGAGATTTATTACCTTGAAGTGATGTTCAACACGTGACGCTGTGGACATCTGCGGTTGTTCTCCTCATGTGTGTGGCTGTGAAAAAAACAAAAACAAAGTCAGAATCGGCTCTCTGTCATGTGTAATCCGTGTTTAGGTCGGCATTTAATTCACATTCAGTTTTTCAGATATCATTTTCTGTTTTACTTCGTCATTTCATACCCTTGCGTAATTGCACTTCCTGCCTTTAAATATTGTGAGCCCAGCCCTTAATGCTTTCACCTGGGTCGTGTCCCAAATCACACACTCATTCCCTACCCCCTACTCCCTACATAGGGTCCTCAATGTAGTGGACTATATAATTCACTTAACTGCAAAAAACAATAACCATTTCAGACGGCGCTCGCTGTCTAGACGGCCGCCGATAATGACGTCATTGCTGTTGTCGCACCAGCTATAAAACTCGAAATAAAAGTACTCCACCACTCCACTGACTGTTGGGTTGTTTTTCACCTTATTTATTAGATATCAATGATATAATGTCAGTGAGAGCCAGCGATACTCTCATGTTTTTAAGCTCTTAAGATGATTTTCTGCAGCCAGTAGATGTTAAGTGTGTCCTTGATCACATCAACAAAGTAGTGAATTTCTAATAATGTACCTTTTATAAAATACAGAAAGCTGCCAAGAGATGCTCACTTTAAGAGATTATGCAAAGCTGGTGTCAATGTCTGCAAGCTGGAGATGGAGAAAACAGATAACCATCCGTGTTAGCTAACTTCCTACACAGCACTAAAGAGCAGACAAACAAAGCTGGCGGACATTGAGGAGCTCGAGGGGAATTTTCCTGATAATATCCTGCTGCGTTCTCACATCAGCCCACTCGGACTTGATGCGGGGGAAAAAAAAAATACTAAAGGGGGTGTGACAGGAGAAACTCTGGGTAAAGTCCGAGGGAAAAATGTGCCTGTTTGCGTTCAAACACACAGCTCCTCCTGGAAATTTTAGGAGCTTTTTGGGAGTTTTCTGCAAGTGAGAAAGCCCTAAAAGAGCGTTGGAGCATTAGAGGAACTTGTAGCAGGTCAATAATGTGTGGCTAAAGAAACGTAATCCTGTAGTGCATGCAATGAAAGTACCTAGTGTTACACCTGTATTACATAGAACAACAACTTCCTTTGGCAAATTCTCTTGTATTTAGTGTTTAAGCCAGATATGAAATTAAAAAAAACATAGTTGTGTAAAGATAATGAATACAATTCCAGTTTAAAATAAAGTTCTTGAATTGTTGACACAGAGTGATGACTAATGTTTACAACACTGAAGACTGAAACACATTTCAGGTTTGTCAAGAGCACGTTCACTGAGGATGTTCAATCCCTCGCCCTCTTTTAAACCTAAGTGTGAGTGTGCTTCCCAAGGTTCAATTAGGGAGTTCTTGCTCCCCGAAATGAGTTAAATCAAGGCTGCTCGATCGATCTGCAGATCCAGAGGTCGATGCGACCTGAACCAAAGCAGGCATGAAAGAGCGTTTGAAGCGTTCGCCCCTCGCCTGACATCCTACTTAACCAGCAGATCTGAGAATAACAAGCGTTCATTACACAGCCAATCACACACCCAACTGCACAGCCACCTTAATGTCCTGTAACACACAGCGTTTGTTCTTATACTTCTACTCTCACTTGTATACATTCATATGCATGTTAGCTGTGTATACTAATGTATTTAAGTGGGCAGGTTTGTGTGGGTGTGCGTGGGAAATTTCAGAGATAACACTCCGCACAGAATCTATTTTAGTCTTTGAAGCCGATAATTTGCAACAGGCTCTCATTGTGAGAGCGTGGATATGCGTGCATGTGTGCGCGTGTGCCCGCTTGTATGTGTGTATTAATGCTTGATATCGCCTTTGATCCGTCTAAAAGCATGTTTGAAGCTGCGATTGGGATCCAAGCGCGCGGCAGATTGTCATGCTGGTAATGGCGGAGAGAAAAGGAGCAGGGTGTTGGGAGGGAGAAAAGTAAAGGAGAAGGAGATACAGCTGGAAGAAAAAGAAACGGAGGAGAGATGAGAATAACTAAGCAGATGATAAAAAAGACTAATAGCATACAGACGATACAGAAGGGGAAATGAGGAAAGTGTCAGAGGGCCCTTTAGGCTGTTAGAGGCCAGAGAGGTTTGATGGTGGTATCATTAGATGGATGAATAGTGAAGCGTGTATAAATGTTTTATTCTACCTCAAGATTACGCCTACATGAGAGAATTAGCTTCATTAACACGGCCCTGGGGCTGGAGGTTAATAACTACGCCACATTTATAAAGACATGATCAGAGAGCAGAGGGGAAAGATAACTGAATGGACTCAGCTAATGGAAAAAGGACTCACTATGAAAGCATTATTCAAACCTAAACCTGGGTTACATTTGGAGTATTAGACCTGCATGCACTCAGGTTTGTAAAGAAGCATTCAAACAAATGGCGTGACAGCTTTTCCTACACTGCGCACACACTGACAGGAAATGTTACACGATGAAGTGACCGAACATTTCATATAAAAGGGAGAGCACAGACAAAAGTAACATGTGCAAGAAGGACAAATAACCTTTGAGGACGGCTCATTCTCATGGAAATATGAATGTCCTTTTACATACACATTTACATACAAAAAAAGGTTTCTAATTGACATCACATGCATGTTTCAAAGCTTTGAACAGACTGTCATGTCGATGGTAGGCCAAGGTTACGCGTTATTGCAATGCATCATTAAAATAATGCCTTGTGTCCACTCGTTTATATAAAATCCTTCTTAATCTGGCTGGCCTATAGTGACCTCAGTATATATAGAATCCGTTGCAGCTGCATGTCCACTGTCAAAATTATACAGATATACTGAGATGATGGCATGGTACTCAATTCTGATTGGCCTGTGGGTGTGCATTACTACTTAATGTATTATATATCAGCAGGAGTCGTATGATGATTCCTCTAATAAATAATTTAGTTTCAAACTAAAACAATGACTCCAGTATATTTGGGATCAGCTGTCAGCATTAACTAGTTAATCGCAAAATAATTAAGGTCTGAAATGAATGCTTCTTTTTTTTAAATCGCAGTTTATCGCATGTTATTTTGTCCCTTTAGGCACACCGTAGATCAGCCCCCGCAGCGTCTCCCTGTAGTCACAGTGATGGAAAAGAACGACAGCGCTGCATCTTTGAATGTCTCCTTTAAATGTCGTAACCTTTGATATACCAGAAGTTCCTTATTTTATTTCAAAATAAAAGCAGGGTTGAACTCAAACAGCAAGGAAAGTACTCTCAGATTAAGACAGTACAATAATTCAAAATAAAAGCCTAACAATTTTTTTTTTATATATATAAAATAATGGAAATTCAAAGGTGCGATTAAAAATGCAACTAATCGCAATTAACTATCAGCCATTTATGGAGATTTTCAAAAGCAATCCTTTGACCGCCCTAGTCTCTGTATAAATTAGACCATGATATGATGGTGTAATACTCAATTCTGATTGGCTGTTTTGTTGTGCAGTTATGTAACATCTTGTAATGTATACAAGCAGAAGCAATTGAGCCACTTTTCTAAACGGTTTCTCCTTTTACTATTTCATGAACAGTCACATGAAGTGTCACCTCCTCGTGCATGTCTGTAGTTACTTGATGTAACACAGTGTCCAGGTGTTTTGTGATTCCTACAGCATGAGTGAGACAAATTAAACAGAGACAGAATAATTGCCTTCATGCAGCTGTGGACTTGCTGTGTGTCTCATGCTGTGAGAGTGTCTCCCTCTAACTGGCCCCGGCAGCTTGACAGCTTTCGAACCGTGGCTTAAGATAATCCCCCATAATGTAATGTATGCAATCTCGCAATGCATATTACATGTATGTTATTACGCAACGCACAATCGCCATAATCTTCCTCCAACTTTCTATGGATGGAGAGTCATGGATATGTTTTGCCCGGGCGCACAAACACGCACTCTGCTCTCCCCCGAGCAGAAGTCAGATTGCAGATGTTCATATCCAGTATCTGCCAGCCCCCGTTTGTTTGTTTTTGGCCCTGAGTGTGTGTGTGTGTGTGTGTGTGATGCTGAGAGGTACTGGCAGCATGGTGCTCAGACTTCCGCCCCTTGCTAATGTCACACAGAGAAGATAGCACGGAGCCTGAGGGAGCTAGCTTGCTGAAAAGCGCGCACACACACACACACACACACACACACACAGCATGCACAGATGCACACTTATCACGCATAAATAAATGAAGATGAACACTGAGAGTGAACATTTTAACTTAGCTTACTCACAAAAGCTCGCCATGCTTCCATGCGGGCTCTCCTATAGTGTTCCATGTCTCATTTGGAATTTTTTTTTTTTTTTTTTTTGGGCTACAGTGACTTGGCGACACACAAACACACGAGTGGACACACACTTCTTTGCAAGGCTGTTCATTTAAGTGTTATTTCTCTCCTGCTGCTGCAATCATGATACCGCTTGAACACTTTCCATGACATAGGAGTACAGTAAAACACTTTTTGTATCTCACACACACATAAACACACACGGACTAAACACCAGCCATCCTGAGGGAATCCTCGCACTGTGAGTGTTTGCACTGCGTTCACCCTTGATGCCCGCACACCTGAACTAAAAGCTTCCCTGTATCTTCTGTCACGGCTATTTGCAGCAGCGGAATGTTTACTCGGAGTGACTTGCAGTTTTAGCCGCGGCACAATACAAGAAAAACAAGTTTGAGGGGACCAGCTGTGACTTTCCTAATAAAGCGTCGTGAAAAAACAGAGGATTGAGCCGGCGTGACTTGTTTAGAATCAAAGTGTCAGCAGTGGTAACATCAAGGAACGGGGCATTCGCTGCAAGATGGGCGCATATGTGCAAACTGCTTCACTGTGAGGGGGGAAGGGAGAGGGAAGGGAGGGGGGGGGGGAGATATTTGTGGTTTCTGGATTCAGTTCAATTAATTTCCATCGTTATCTGTCTTCTCTTGTTTATTTCATCCCACTGTGGTTTAAACCCTTTTGTTGTTTCCCTCCATCTCTATCCACCCCACCCAATTCTCATCTTCATCAT